GTCCTGGCCTTAACCAATTTCTGGATGTGGAAATCCATAATGACAGTAAGCCACAAAACAACTTTTCCAACATTCAGCTACTCTCCCCCAATGAAGATGGAACTTTTTATTCTGAAAATTGTGAACATATGAACTTCTATTCCCACGAGATTTCATTTAGCTCAAAATCTTGCCTCCACTGATGAGCAATAGTATACTCTATAGAGAACAAGATGAGAGCAAGCATGCAGTGATACTTCCCAGTACACTCATCATCAACTTGCAGCTCGGAGACCTCCCAAGCAGAAGTATTATCTTCTTTTAAAGGAGCCTCTGATGGATTTTGTAGCATTTGGAACAGACACATGAAGAAAACGCTAGGGCTGTCTAAGCCACAAATGCCATCCTCTTTGAAGCTAGAACGTGATAAGGGTTTTCTGACAGTTGCTACTTCCATCACAAGGTTGCTCTGTGATCTTACTGCTCCAGTTAAACCATTCCTAACTACTGACAATGTCACAAGAACTAGCCAGGCACAATTTTTCACATCAGTTTTCTCAACTGTAAAAGGCAATGTATGTTAGTTTAAATCAAGTGCCTGTGAAAACCTGGCAGGATCCTGGTGCCAACAAGGGTCCCAATAGGATCCTGCCTGGTTTCCTCATAACTCAACTGGTGGCTGATAAGCAGCCCACCCAGAGCTAGGGTTCCCAAAGAAACTGAAAAGCAGACAACAGGTAGTCATGATATACCATGGGAATTTCCATGGGAAATATATGTCTATGCACAACTTTAATGATAGTATGATCCTTAAAGGCACAAACTATAACAATCAAGTAAACTGATAATGCATTTAGAACAGTTAAAGAGAAAAATTAAGTAAAGGGGAAAAAAAGCAGGCAATCTCATCTAAAGTGAAACAATTGCCACGAAGAGGTGGTACTGGCTAACCAGCCCATCTCTTTTGGATGGCAGCAATGGGCCCCTCCTAATTCCTCACATAGTAAGCACACTCAGAAAAAGGAAAGAATCTCCTTAGGAAATTCAAGGGAATGGGGAAGAAGTACTGAAATTAAACAAACAATTTGATGATGTCCATAGGAAAGTTTTCACGAGATATCTGTTTGATTATTGTACAGCAATCTCCATGGGAAGTATAAAAGCCCCAAAAAGCATGAGAAACATTAAACCATGCCAGAGAGTAATGAAAATAAACTCTAAAGAGCTTTTCTGCTCTGGTCTCCAAGGACAGCTATCCAATCCCTCACATCAGCTGTATGGCAAGGTACTGCTCCATCTAAATGCTGGAAAGCCAGCTGAGATAATTCCCACCTAGATTTCAACTTCCCCAAAGGAAAAGCATTTCTTTGGCTAGTACATAAAGCGCAGCACAAAACCAAACATGAGAGCTCCATACTACCTCAAGTCTTCCCCCTCATCCCCCATTCATTTCCTTTCACACCATTTCCTTCCCACCTGCCTGATGACACCCCATCAGGTGTCTCAGCCTCCCCAGTAGCCCTGAAAACTCCTTTCCTGATATGATCCAACAGTCACTGCTTTCCTTCAAGCTTCTTTTTTTTACAGAGGTTTGCAGCTTCAGCCCCAGTTACAGCAGATGTTTGTTTCCTCACAGACTCAAATAAACACACACGCAACTATTTCAACAGAACGATAATATACAGGCCAAAGAGCTACTTTCTGAAAATCTCACCTACCTAACAATAAAACTTTAAAAAAGAGTAAAATCAGTTCAATACTAAGCTGTTCCACATGGGTCCTTTTTATTATTTCTGCGCTATTCTTCATAGTGCCATTAGCAGGCAGACGTATGTACTACAGAACTGTTCAACTTAACCTTAAAGATTAATGAGAAATCCTAAATAGTAAAATACAGTTTCCTTAGTTTGCATACCCGATTTAAAATAAACAAAAAACCATAATGCTAATTAACCTCTTCTGGGAGTCAAGGGAGAGCAAGCCAAAATGAAACCCCAAAATAAGCTGTACAATACTATGCATGAACCATTATCATAACCTATTATGCCGGTGCCCCTTTATAGGACATTTTAGGGCATATTCTCTTTAAGTATTAATAAATGAGTTAAAGCTATTATCCCCTTTAGCAGCAAATAAATTACTCTATGCCTAAAATGTCAGACTGCTCTCCACCTTGTAACAACACCTGTGACAATGTTTTGAATCAATAAAGACAAATCTACAACAACAAAGGAGCCCTATAATCACCTATATTCAGTTACCCGGGTTTGGGGTTTTTTTCCCCCATTCCCTGTTCCTTCTGCTTTTGACAATCAAACATGGGCATTTTGAAGAAGACACATTTAAGCCACAATGCCCAACAGTTACCCTTCATTTACAGCACTACAAACTAATTTGTGCGAAGTCCTTCAACTGAAGATTAGACAAAACAGTAATGTTTGTCTTAGGCAGATACTTTTGCCTGCCAATCATATTTTAAGACAAATCCTGATGCTAAATGAAGTACATGTATTGTAATATTTCCTGTAGTGTTCTTCTTACTAGCATATATTTATTTAGAGACCTTTTATCTTAACCAATACTTTTTTTTTTTTTAGGGTTTTCTTGTGTGCAATAAAGTAAGTTCCCTCCTCGTTTTTTAAGAGCTAGAATTCTATACACTTCAATACATTTTAGTTCCTATAGCAATTTTGAAAAGGTATTACTGAACATCATAATTAAAATAATTGTACTTGGCAAATAAGTGAATTGAGCACAGTGTGGAATGTGTTCTTTTTTTTCCAAAACTGCTCAGTTTTCCATCAATTTGCAAAATTCAGTAGACTGCTGTACTAGTTGCTACCATGAATTAGCTTGAGCTTATTTTGAGTACAATTTTGCAGAAACTAAATGCATCTAAATGGTACATAAGCTTCCATCCTGTACTAGCTAATTTAATTTCTTGTTAACTTCTGACCCAATGGATTCATACACTCCATAGGAACCACGTGCAATAGCTCAGATGACTCTTATTTAAAAAGGCACAAAACATTACTTAGTTCCCCTAAAGATACTAATCTGCACGTATACATCTTCCAAATAATGTACTGGAAGTAGTGACATCTTTGTTCAACAGACAAGAAAGCTTCCCTATCTGTAACTCCAGCAGTGTGGTTTTCCCCCCAGCTTTTTTACAAGACTTAAAAAGTAAGAGGCATACTAGATGTAACTTTAGAACTTGTTCCAAGCAAATCAGAGTTTAATAATAAAGGATCCACTTACTCATGATCAGTAATCAGTCATTTTAATTACAAGTTAACGTGATGTGCCACAGTTATTAGTGTACTACAGAAAGGATCAGCAGAAGGAACAGGAACAAAAATCCCGAGGGCAGATTATTTCAGCATATTAAGCAACACCACCCCGGAATTTCTACCACATGGAGAGTTTTTAACAGTCCAAAGACAGGTAGATGTTGCACAAGGATGACCAACTCTTTGGCTTCAGTCCTGACAACACATAACGCAAACACAGCTATTACTTGCCGTCAGACTACTCGGGTAACATGCTCATCACTACTACCTGAAGACCACAGATTCTGTTCTACACTGAAGAGATGAGAAGAAAACAAATCGCACTTCCAAATTCTGGATTTTACTGGGTATGTATAAAAAGATGATTATAGATACATCACTGCAGCCCTCTGTAAACTCATGTCACTGTTGAACCTAGGATACTTTCGATGTGCCTTACACCAAACCTGTATGTGCAAGCTCCCTCTTGTACTAACCAGCAGAGATTTTAAATGCTGAAGTTACACCTAGGGAATACTAAGATGTTTCTGCCATCACAGTCCTCAAAGAACCCACCCATTTCAAGGGAAAACAATTTGTAGTACCCTGTAAGAAACTACTGAAAACTACTTCAAGTTTACTGTCATTTTCATAAAACATCTATTGTAAAATATCCTGAAAAACACATTTGTTGATTCAAAAAATATTAATATCAAAGTGACTTTGAAAGTGGATCAGATGAAGACAAACTTCACCATCAACAGAAAAACTGACAAAATGTTTCAGTGTTATTACACATTTAGCTGTTATCATGCTCTAAGATTTGCGTGCATTCCATCAAACTAAACAGTTTAGCTGTTCAAAGTAGAACACACACACCTGACATTTTATTTCAGAGTGGAAAAACACAGGTTTGGGGTTGGTTTGTTTTTTGTTGTTTTGATGGGGTTTTTGTTTGCTTGTTTGGGGTTTTGGTTTTTGGTTCCCCCCCTCCCCAGGAACATCAGGCAGCTCCCACCCACCATGGGGCTCCCACGGGAGGGACGCGGCCCAGCCACGGGTGGGCCGGGAGCCCCAGCGCACACCTGTGCGGCCGGGCAGCGGGCGTGCCTCCAGCCCACGGCACGTCCAGCGGCGTGAAAGAACGCTTAATAGTTAAACTGAAGGATTTCTGTGCTAAGAAGTTATCTTTCTTTTCTTTTTTAACCTATACAAAACCTATAGTGGTGGGAGTTTTTGCAATACCCCGGTGGTCTAAGGGCACAGGCAGGCCCTGGCTCACGGATGAGGTAAAAGCTTCCACGAAAATCAACCGGTACAGCCGAACGCCCCTACAAAACCTGCCGGGATGGAGGCCTAGCCCGGGCCGTTTCCCGCTGCGAGGAGAAGCCACACCACCTGACGGGAGCAAGCCCGCACGCACCCCGCGCCACCCGAAATCCGGTCACCGGGGAGGGACAGGGCCGAGCCTGCCCCCCGCCCCGAGCTGACACGACCCCTCGCAGCCGGCGGAAGGTGCCGTTCAAACACGGCGCGTCCCGGCGCCGAGCCCGGCCGCGGCGGGGGACACGGCGCCCCGGCCGCCTGAAATGGAGGACGGCTGGGCCGCCGCCAGGCGCCGCGCCCGCAGGTAACGCACCTCGGTGCCTTCCCCCCGCGCCCCGCCGCCCCGCGACGGGGGAAGGAGGGCGGAGGGGCTTCCCCCGAGCGCGGGCGGCCGCGGGCCCGCGCCCCGCCGGCGGTACCTACCACCTCGGCCAGCTTGATCCTGCCGAAGGTGCCCCGCAGGTAGTCCAGGTCGCAGCGGAGGCCGCCCAGCCCGCGGCTCTGGCTGACGGGCTCCGTGGTGGGCTGGTAGGGACTGCTGGCTCCCGAGATCATGGAAGTGCTGGACGCCTCGCCATCGAAGCCCTCCAGGTCATCGCCGTTCCTCATGGTGCCGGTGGTGCCGGCGCCGCCGCGCTGCCGAGGGGCTGGCCGCGGAGCTGCGGCCCGAGCCGCGCCACGCCGCGCTCACCTAGCGCTGGGCCGGCTGCATAGCTCCTGCCGCCCCCCGTCAGGCGGAGCGGCGCGGGGCGAGCGAGGGCAGCATGGTATGGTGCGGTGCGGTGCAGTGCTGTGCCCCGGGACCGGGCCCGCGCCCGCGGCGGGAGGAGGAAGAAGAGGAAGAAGGGGAGGAGGAGAAGGGGAAGAAGAAGAAGGAGGAGGAGGGGGGGGGGGGGGGGAGAGCGACGGCGCGCGAGCAGCCCTCAGCGCCGCGCCGCGCCCCGCCGCTGGGGGGCGCCCTGGCGCGGCCGCGGGGACCCGCCCGCTGCGCGGGACGAGGCCGCCGGGCGCCTCAACCCCGGCGGCGGCGCGGCCACCCCGCGCTCCGCTCCCGCTGCCCGGCCCCGGTCCCGGTCCCGGTCCCAGCAGGGTATCTCGGCTCCGAGCGGGGACGCCGCCGCTGTCGCTCCTCCCCCCTGCGCTCAGCGGAAAGGGCGGAGAGAGCCCGCCCCGGAGGGCGCGCCGCGGTCGGGCGGTGCCTCCGCGGGCCCGCGGCCGTCCGCCCGCCCCGGCACCGGCACCTGCCCCTGGCCCGGCCCGCGGAGGGCAGCGCAGAGCCAGGCACCTGCCCCCGGGGTGTTCCCGGCCCACGGCGGTCACCGCGCTCCGCGGGAGGCGGCTGGAGGTTCCGGTTGCGGCGTCCCGGCGGTTTTGGCGCCTCAGAAGGCGTTAGCGGTCTGCTGCGTTAAAGGCTTTTTGGTTTTGGGTATTTAGAAAGGCATTGATGTTGATGCGAACACCGAGAAAGTGGACGACGCTGTCATTTTAAATTGTATTCGTAACTCGGAGTTAATCCTTCCAGACAGATGAAGCAGTTCGCACTGCTCAGTTACACTTTCAAGCTGTGGCGATACTGCACCCACAGTAGTTTGAATATTGGAAACCTCGACTGTATTCTTCTGTGAGCATCAGAAACATTTTCAAGTGTAATTTTAAATAGTGAAGTTTTCCAAGTAAATGGATAGTTTTGACAGGCTCTGAATTACTTCTTGGAGACACTTTCCTCTTGCTCTGTCACCATAAATAAGGAGAAATTGCAACATGATCTGGCAAATGCAGCTGAAGTTTGTTTTGTTTTGTTTTTTAACATGGGCAGAGACTGACTGCTGTGTACCACAGACCAAGTGGAAATCCAAGGTGTTCAGCATCACATCCTCTCATGTGCCATCTTTATCAGCCAGGCCCCTATTCTCGGTCTTTCCATTGACAGTCTACACCATTTTCCCTTCTTTCACGTTACTAGTACAGGACTTTCACATGTATTAATTCCTCTAGAATCTTCCTCTGGACTCCCAAGTCTTTCTTACAGCTACAGTTTTTCTCTTTTCCATGAACCGTATAGATCATCAACCTTGTGATTTCCTTTCCAGCTACAGTGTTTTGTTTAATCTCTCCCTCTCAGTTCTCTTGAAGCCCCTTTTAATCCTTCTTTTAAAGGGTTTTGCCCAATACCACATGATCTTTAATTTCAAGGTATTTTTCTTCTTTTCTTTGGCCTCTGTATAAATAGACCCTAAGAAACAGACCTAAAGAGACAGAGAACACACCAGGAACCCTGGATCAAAAAGGGTCGGGTTTTTGTCTGCCATTAACAGTCACTGCTTAGTTAAGTGGAGGCATCATTGACAGTACACAGCCAATAGAAGTCTTTTCAGAGCTGCTCTGGGAGATCCTGGTGCTGGAAGAGGCCGATATTCTCAAGCAAGATGAAGAACTAGGAAACGTGCTTAAGAAAACAAAAATGTTGCCCTTTGGTGAAGGACAAATGGCAGGAAAGTTAAAAAAAAAAAGAAAACGAGCAAGGCCTGGAAAAGGATGGAAACTGTTGCTTGGGTCACATGAACCCAGCCTAATGATATGAAATCATAAATATAAGAGGAAAATCCTGAATTGGCACAGGTCTGGCCATGATGGACTAATAGGTTTTTACAGTCTCTTATTTCAGTTCTGGTATAACTCCACGGAAATCAGAAGTCTCACAAAGCTCCTTTTCTTGCAGGAAATATCATGGGTAGGTGGTTGCCACTTCCGAGACCTTCTCTGGATTCTTTTTAACTTAAGGCTCCACAGTTTTTTCAGGAACACAGGATTTCCACCTCTACCTACTGAGAGATGTAACATTGGCTTTGGGGGAGTGCTGTGCCAGCTCTAGAAAACTATCCTGAGCAAAACAATTAAAACATTTTTGAAACACCCAGTGAACAATATTTTGATAAATCTTTTGCAGTTCTAACCTAAATACATCAGTACATTGAAGGAGAATCAAAAGGTGGTATTGCAGAAGACGAATGACAAAGGGAGAGATGGTTGAGTGATTTAAGAAAAGGTCTAGGCGATAAGAGATCTTGATTCTGGTTTTTGGTGTAGCCACTACCTTCTGTGCAGCCTTCAGCAAACTTAATAGCTTAGTTTTTCCTATAAAGCAGACTACACAAAGTTTAAATGTATTTAAAATCATGAGAGCACTTCCAGAATACCGCAAAGTATAGACACACTGAAAACCCTCTGTCCTTCAGCGAGCTAGTTGCCTGGGCAGTGAAAGCACCGCAAGTGTTCTCTCTGCCCAGTCTGAAGTGTTATTTGAACAATTGTGAGGCATGTTTTCAGTGAGCGTGTCGACAGTGTCACTGACCACGGTTTCACAGACATTCTGTGCAGCTCCGAGGGCAGCAGGGTACCGGCATCGCCGCCCGGAGCCCCTGTAGCCCTTTCGGCACCACGGCTGTACAGCCAGCGTCCCCCTTGCTGTAAATGGCACAGAGCCAGCACCGAGCCATACTGGGGGATTTTCTGGCGTCCTCCTGGACGGGTGGGTGGGCTGGACAGACTTGGCAAGGGCTTGTGAGGTTGTTGCCAACATTTAACAAAGGAATCCTTTACACACATTCTTGCCTGATACGGCACCTTTTCAGCCTGCTCTGTAGCACTTGAAGGAAAAAAATGTCTACGATTAATATGTAAATAAAAGTATTGATCCCATAAAAAGGTCACTGCATTCATCCGAGGCAGATCACATTGCTTTCAGATAACTTTGTTTTTACAAGTTCATAAGCTTTTCAGGCACAGCCTGCCATTTCATCCTGTGGCTTTATACCAAGAGTAGGAAAATGGGGAACCAGGTCAGTGATCAGCACTCACGACACCACCATAGTATCAAGCTAACCAGATCACAGAATTCATCAGAGCGGACTTCATATCCAGCCAACATATGACTGAATAGCAAAAACAAGGAAGAAAGAGCACAGAGGGAAGGAAATCCAAGTATCCTATTCATGGGCACTACAGTTTAATGATCAAAGATCTGTATTTTTACAGAATGGTTAAAGCCAGCTTTGGCAGAATTAAAAATTCCCCATCAGAAAGAATCTCCAGGACAGTAGTGATAAATTAAAACCAAGTGGTGATTTAGGTGTAAAAAGCAGTGGAAAGAGAACCTTAAATATGATCACTGATCAAACTGAACAAAACTACCCTAATCTCTCAGCTTTCATCTCAGCTACTCATACAGCCTTTAATAAACAGCCTTTAATAAACTTCTGCTGGGTTCATTTCATTAAGCACATTTCAGTTTTATTTTTAAGATTAAAGTGTGTGATTCTATTGCAACTCAATAGGAATATCAACTTAAATGTAGCTTTTAAAATCTGGTTTTATGTAGTTTTAACACACTTTAAAGTGTTTAAATGTTTATACATAAAATTTTGTAGATGTGAATGGTGCTTAAATGTAGTTAAGAGTGCAAAAGGAATTGCAATCCTAACAGGAAAGTTACATCTGTGCAAGTACCTGAAAAGAGCCGAGAGGTTCTTTAAGAAAATGCTCCGTTACTTCCACATGACCTACCAAAGGGAAGGAGCACTGGTATGCTGCCAAATTCCAAGAGAGCTGAGCAGTGATTAGAGTATAACTCTGGCATCAGAGAGGAGACTTTTTTCCCCTTAAATTTCTCAATGTAAAAAATGCTGAAGCTTTTTCTCAACTTTTCAGTTGGGGAAAAAAAAAAAAACAAAACAAAACCAAACACAAAACCCACCCCACCCTAAAAAGCTAATAAAGAACTTGCTTTAGGAAAACATCTGGTAGTTTTAAGTGCCTTAGTTCAGTAAATTGTCCATTTTCACAGTGTAGGAGTGTGGCATGCACACTTCGATTCCGTAGCCATGAGCAGCATGGGAAGCAGGCAAATAATTTTGCTGAGTCAGAGTTAGGAATTAATACAACATGAATAAGCTGCAATTTCTGACACAGACTTTAAGCAGAAGGAAAACTGGACAGAATGGTGGGGACTCATGCAGTCAGTTATCCCTAACTGGTCAAGGATAACTGCTGCTGAGCGGTAAGACAATTCCTACTTTACCACATCCCGCCACTGCTGAAATAGCACTGTGCAACCTCCCACAGTAAAGCCACTCGGCATAAATCCACCTCAGGCACTGAATATCCAGAGAAGTTTCACAGGCTAACAGCACACTGCTTGCTGTTCACACCTGATGGTTTGGTAACAGCACTTTAGGTACATACTGACACAGCACAGCGAGTGGCACTCTTGGCTTTACATCTGGTTAAAAAAGTGCAGGTCTAGTAACAGAAAACGTTAGTGAATCCTACTCCTATCCTGCAGTTATACTCTAACATTAGCCCGTGCATATTTTCAACACCTTCACCTGTATTCCAGCCCTTATGCTTTGGAAAATAAACAGAGCAGCCCCGGATGGCCCTACAGGCCTCACAGACCTGTGTGACAGATTCCTCCATTATGGGGCTCCCACCAGGTCTCACAGCTGGGACCAGAAAGCAGCAGTGGCTGGAAATCACTGCAGGACCTGTCCCAAGGGGCTGTATGGGGTTGGCTTCCCCTTTAAGGGGACAAATAAAAGTATCACTCCTGGAATTTCACCATCAGTACCATAAAACAGCATTTCCCCATCAAAAACAAATCAACCACAAGAAGAAAATCTCCCCAAAACCAAGGTAACACCGTAAATAAAATCAGATCTTTACTTTGCCGACTTACAAACATTACTTCATATGCTATGAACAATGAGACATTCATAGGCCAACTTTTTTTTTAATCCAGGATTAGAGATTGACATCTCCTTCAGTATTGTCTACTGGTCCAATTTTTGTTTTCCTCTGCCTTCATCACTGATCAAGTAGTCACTGACTCCTTTCACATACAAAAACTTTTAAGGATATCTGCAATCTGCAAGTGCCAGAGAGGGGTTACCTCGCAGTCACAGCTGGGCTGAAGGGC